TATATATATATATATATATTAGGCTATTAGAACGTGAAGAACATAGGGAAAAAGTCAATGCAATAAATCACATGGCCTGAATTCTGCTATACGTCAGCAGATAAGCTAAACTCTGTAACGTAGTATCGTTTGCCTCAGTGACGTGGCGAGCATACAATAACGCCTCCTTGATCACGTCTGGTGGTCAAGAAACTAGTCACAAATAGCAGTGCGGCAAGTAGCCAAAGCCCTTGGCGCGCAATTGGAATGAAATGCTGACGTGGTAAGGAACAGAGTGGTTCCGTGGCGAGGCCTATAAATAGAAGCAGGGGTAGAATTCGAGAAACGTTTATCGTCTCCTTTATTTCAAGCTTTTACAAAGCTTCGGTTGGCTTCTTCGCCGCCGAGATCCTTTCCCTGTCGAAAATCCATCATAAGCTTAGCATTGAAGAATTCTTTTTCTTTTATAATTTTTTCCTCTCTTCTTCATGCAGTTGATTTTGTAGAACGGAATCATCATCTGTGATCTGACCCTGGCCGAAGAAAGCAGAGTTCATGACAGTCGCTCGAATTAGGGTTTCGTTATGGAGAAGGTCTGTAAATTACTCATAATTCCAATTTGATTTGTTCTACAGTTTAGAAAAGCTCGACAAGAGTCGGCTCTATAATTTTCCTTTGAGAAAATATCTTATTTTCTTAGTAAGTTCTTTGGTACTATTTGGTTCACAAATACCTTCTTAGGGATTATGATTTCTCTTGCTCAGTGATTGATAATCGTTGCACGTTAGCTAGGATTTAACATTCCGAATTTCCTACTCCGATTAAGATGTTATGAGCCATTTTTTAATTTAAAACTGGTTTGGCTTGGGAGATTCACATTTGGAGTTATTTTATCATGACCACTTTGAAGATTTAGAGAAATGTGAGGATTCCTCTATGGGACATAAATTGGAGATATTATCAGATTGTTCGGAGGCAGATTAGAACACGCCACGTCACTCGGTACATAGCGGGTACATACTTGCGGTACACAACAAAAAGTGATGTGACGTGCTCTGATTCGCCTCTGGACAACGTCCGGTGTCTGCACAGAATAAATTTTTCATAAATTGAGACTTAAAGCGGAACCGAGTAATATGACAATTCGAAGTATTTTTTGCTGATGGGATGGTAATCAGGTCAAGTTGCCACGTCATAGTGAAATTGCATGTTTCCCTAGCAAGGTAAAGCAAACATAAATTAAATAATTTGCATACTATCGTAAAAACGAGCCATTGTCAATGACTTGAGGAGCATCTGAATCAACATATGGCTAATAATTGCAACAAAATCACTAAAAACAGGGTATCAAGGTAGTCAAATAATCATGTACAATACAAATTGAAACATTATTCAATTTAAAAATCGTTCGAGTCGTACACCTTGAGGCTTAAACCTCACCGAGAACAATCAGGCTTACGCCTTTTAAATATGACATATAACTCGTGCCATTTTGAGGTGGCGTTTAATTACTTGTGAATTTTTATAATTTTATTATTATTATTATTATGTATTAACTAATAGACTGCACGTATCAAGACTAGGATTTATCTCTAAACAAGAATGCCCACTACAGTTTCAAGTGAAGCAAGAGTGAGGTCGTGAGTGAGTGGATCGAGAGTGATATATAAAGTCTCACTAAATGTAATTGGAGCATGTTCAACCAAAGTTATTTACAATTGTAATAATATGAGTGTAATTGGAGCACGTTCAATCAAATTCATACAAAGAGAATGATCCAATTAGTTGTAGAATGAATGAATAAGTTAATTCATATTATCTTTAATTAAAAATTAAAAGATAGACATCTTAAATTATAGAAGCAAAAATTGATTACTATGAATGGTTGTAGATATCAAACTAATACGCTGGAAAATTTTCCTCATTTAATCTGTGAATAAGGAGGATGAATATAAAATAATACATATTATTTATGCTGAGCAAAACTGAAATTTCTGGCCCTAAATAGTTATGATATAGCTTATGATGATTGTGATAATCATCCTGATTTGGTCCTTAAAAATGCATCTTCACGTACAGAGGTATGTTTGGGTGTTTTACTATACTTTTTATGTAAACGGGTATTGATTTCGCCGTTTGCAAAAGAGAAATAGCTAAAATGCTATAAAGGAATAATAATCACTAAAGGGCTGATTGGTTAGAATACAAAGTGGTGTAAAGTATTTTAAATGTAGGGGTTTTGAAAATTTTAGTGTTCGGTTGGAATTCAAAGTGGAGCAAAGTTAAGTAAAATAAATATAGTGTAAATCATTTTAGTTCATTTTTTCACTAAACCAAACTCAAATAGTTCTGAGCAGAATCGTTTACACCACAAACAAGCTCATTTGCTACCGTCCATCTCTGCCGGTAGCCACTATCACCCACCGCGGGCAACCACTGCACACCCCTCCCAAGCAACTGCCAAAACCCACCTCCAGCCAAAACTGCTGACCACCATTGCCACCTCCCCTGCTTCCACCACCATTTTTACACTTCACACTACATTCATTATTTCAAATCACATAAAAAAATCATTCACTTGCATTTATTTTATATTCATCCAATCAACTTCAAAATATTTCTTTTACACTCTATTCTTTTTATACTGCATTTCTTTTTTAGCAAATTAAACAGCCCCTAAATGTGTAGCAAGGTCCTTAAAGCGGATTTAGATGCTTGTAGTTTGCAAACAATTTTTAGAAAACGATAATTTGTTTACATTTATTTTGGAAGTGACCAAAAATCTTTTCATTTAAGAGGCTTGTGGAATTTATGATTAATTGTTGATTTCTAAGTACATTCAACTCAATAAAGAAATCTAATTACCTTCATCCATTTCTAATACTTAACATCCATCTTCAAGGAACCAAGCGACCTTTCTGACAATGAAACAGTATAAGGTGAGGGCAAGAACTTCGATTGAAATTTTAATACTACATACTGCAAAGCATTAAGCTTTGGATCAAATTAAAGCGGAATATCTATGCATTAGCATGCTACAAATTAAGGGATTTTGCTTTGAACAAGTCATTTTGGTAACTTTCTGCATGATCCACAGGATAAATTGCTCAAGGCTGAAGGAAATGACAATTTGCCACTTCCTGGGCATCAAATTGTGTCCCTCATTCGTGGATTTCAAGCTGAAGAAGCTCTTCAGCTCGGAAACTTGGAGAGAAGACTTGCTGAGATGGTTTGGCAAGATGATAGTTCTGGTTTCATAGCATTGCTGAAGCATTCCCCTGACCATGCGCTGGAATCGCCTTGCTCAAACGAAGATGATCTCTTGGATCCCGGCGGTGCTGCTAGTCTTCTTCAGCTAGCATGTAAGCTTGATTCAGTCAAATGTGCCCAGCTTCTTATTGAAGGACAAACTGGAATGGCCGTCAACATCAATGAAATGGATGGCTTTGGGCGTTCCCCACTCCATACTGCTGCAGAGATGCTCTCATCAAAGTGTATTGATCTTCTACTTCGAAATCGTGCTCGTACTGATCTAAGATCAAATGATGGGGATGCACTTCTTGCCCTTGAGATCTCACTGGCCAGTCAGAGGTGAGTTTCTACAAAAACCCTAATCTATTGCATATTTGAAAAAAAAAATTATTTCCAGTTAACTGATTTCCTTGGAATCTTGTTCTGCGTACACTAGGTCGCATGTTAATTGGTCTCTCGATGAATCAGTTGAAGAACTCCTGGCTTCTCTCAAAGAAATGGTCTGTTTTGAACGATTTTGGAACTTTTTTATCGGTAATTTTTCTGATCGAAGGAAATCTGCTGCAGGATTTGACTGCTATTACGTTGTTGGCTGAGGCAACTAAAGATCTCACTGAGCTGTCCTACATGATAGCTGTTGAAGGTCGAGTGGTAGAGCTTGCGACTCTCCTACTAGCTTCAGATGAACTTACGGGAACAACAACCATGTATGAGCTTGTCCTGGAAGAGTCCCTGAATCTACTGGAAATGGCAAAAGGGGAGCATTGGAGTTCTACTCACGGGATATATGAGAAGCGGCAAGCACTACTCTGTCAGATTGAGCTGCTTCATTTGTTTGGAGTTGCTTCCGTGATTAGTTGGGGGAACAAGAAAGATCTTGCAGTTCTGCTTCGGGCAGCTCAGGTATAACCTTGACTGATGTAATTCCTTGGGATTAAATTCTTAATCTCAATCGGGAAGATTTCCAACATATTTGGTAGGCTGGAGATGATATGTTAGTGGAAGTACTTATCAGGAAAAATTTGGATGCTAATGACACTAATGAAGATGGCAACTCATCCCTCCATTGTTATCTAAAGGGGGGTGCCAGTTCCCAAGACTCTAGGTTAAATCTCATTTGCATTATTTGGCTTTTGCATTTTTTTCCATACATGTAAGAAGATGGCAACGCTAATGTTGATCCCTCTACTTGCCTGGAAATTATTCTGTGTGGAGTCCGAACGTAGAGGATCTTTCGGATTATTGGACGCACTACATAGGCTTTGCTTACACTCTGCATTCGCTCTACTTACACTTTGCGTATTTGTAGATATACAGCAAATAAACAGCAAATCATCACAACTAATTATTTGCTGCTTATTTACTGCGTATCTATAAATACACAATATATACGCAGCAAATACACAGAGCGTAGGCATAGGGTACACAATAATCCGGAAGATCCTCTACGTTCGGACTCCGCACGTAATAATTTCTCCTACTTGCCACATTTTTAGAATCCTCAGCTGCTTGCTCAAGTGCGGTGCCAGAGTAAATCAGCACAATAAATTTGGGCTTACTCCAATACATTTGGCTTCACTCAAGGGCAATTATGAATCTCTTCAGGTGAATTCTTGTTCCTTTACTTTTGTATGCCTTCTTTATTCTTTGTTTTTTTTACAATGTTTTTTAATGGTGAATGTTATGATGAGATCCAGATACTGCTACTTCATGCTCCAGAATGTGTGGATATCCTTTCTGTGACAAATGAGACACCACTGTTTTTTGCAGTGAAAAGTAATTCTGCAAATTGTGTAAAGCTACTTCTGCAGTTAGGTGCAAATAGGGATGCCCTTAACCTCCGGTAAGCTATATAGATAGCCATGGTTCTCTCTTCCCCTATTGTATATTTGTTTTCATGTCACAATTGCCTGTGTCTCCTTGTATCTTTTTGACAGAAAACAGAGACCAGTAGACCTGGCACTATCTGAAGACATGCGTGTCATTCTTAGAACTGTTTATCCAAAAAACTGTAAGCTATTCAATGACCTCAAAGATAGGTGTGCAAAGTGCAATAATAATAATATTCACTCCAGTTTCAATATCTATCTGTAGTGGGCGGAACTCATCCCTCTCAGGAAGATGATGCCAGCTTCCTTTCTGATGAAGAGCATAGTGAAGGCATGTTCCATGGATTTCTGGAGCTGAAGGCTGATCTTGCAAAACTGTCCAAGTAAAAAACATAAAAAATCTGCCAATTTCAAGTTAGAACTTTAGTGAATCCAGAGATCTGAAGCTCCAGCTAGCTTCATTAAAATATTGGCTTACTTGTATTTTTTTATTTTTTTTTAGCAAAATTGATTCTAAGGAAGTGGATACCAAAATTGGAATTTGCCGCTACTTCAAGTCTCCAAATGGATGTGGAAGAGGTAGCAAATGTTATTATTCCCATGGAGAGGAAGCACAGAGACTAGAAAAGAGTAGGTTGGTGGAACACAATCCTCGTCTTCTCACGTGTATTAAGGTAAGGTTCCACCCATGTCCCCTAAATAAAGAAGAGCATATCCACATTATTGCACAATTCAGCCTTGTGAAATGTTTCATTTAGAAGCCAACGAGTCTCAAAGATGAACTGCAGCGAAAAATCTTTATTGGGGGACTTCCTCCTTCAGTCGATTCAGGTTTTGTTTTTGAACTTTTTAAATTTTAATCTCTTATGATGCTCATACAATTATTGTGCTTCATATCATGCCGTGAGTTAATGTTTTTCCCTTCGCCTTTGTCCAGATGATCTAAAGAAGTTCTTTGAGGAGGAGTTTGGACCAGTGGATGATGCGGTAGTCATTGGCACCAAAGTGGGTAGTCGTGTGCTATCAAAAGGTTTTGGCTTCCTCACCTTCAAGCAAGAAGATACCATGAAAAGTGCTGTTAAGGCTCATTTTATTACTCTTTCTGGTAAGACAATTGAGATCAAAAGCGCTCTCCCGAAATGTCAAATGGAGAATTCCAGTTCTCTTTCTGATCAGGAACTCTTCAAAGAAGATCCGGATGAGGCCAATGGTAGGATGGCTTCCTGTGGTGACTCCAATGATCAGCAAGTAATTAAGATTGGTGAACTACCTCCATGGTTGGTTAGGTTCAAGGAATGGTTTCCAGTCTACCTGAACAAGACGTGCAGAAGGCTTGGTGAAGGAGAGTGGTATCCTCTTTCATCTCTAAAAGGAGATTTCAGGGCCACATGTGGAATGGAACTTGATCACGAGTCCATCGGCTTCTTGAAGCTCAGTGACTTCCTTCGCTCCCTCCCTGGGATATGTAAGATGCACGTGATTTCAACTGGAAATGGTTCCCCTACTCACATGGTTCTCCGACCTTTCTATTCCTCGTCTTCTAACCAGACACAGCAGTCAAAGCTTGCATCATGCGTAGTTCCTCATTTCTCATCATCCAAATTTCCTTCACCGATCTCCGAGATTTCTGACAGCCCTGTTTTCTCAGATGAAAGTATACTTCATGAGAATGTGTGTGTTTTAAATGCTGCTTCTTTGCAAAGGTCTCCAAATCACGGGCGATGGGAACACAAGCCTTGGTTGGTTACTAATCCGCAAAGGCTAGGTAATAGATTCTCTGAATATAACCAATGGAGAAGTGCTGGATTATTTGAGCAACCCAGTTCCCTGAAAGAAATAGCAGCTGGGGACAGTACTCAGCAACCTTTTTCCTTCTTTGTTCATCAATGGGATAGTGGTCTGGTGAGCTTCACTTCCACGTTATCTCTCGATCTTATAAACAAATATGCATACTAAAATTATGTAATTTATATTATATTGTCTGCAGATAGCTCGTGGCAACTGCATTATATGCAAAAATGCACCAGGCATTTTTATCGCCAGTCCCTACCTTCATAAGGTATGCCATTCATGTAAGAAGGATTTCTTTAGTTCGTTTACAAGTTGCAGCTACTATGGCGGAATTCAGCTGCGGAAACCTACTATATTCTATGAGGAATTCCCGTCTCTGGTAATGAAGACTTCCCTTTAACCTTTTCCAATTATGGCTTCGTTTGGGATGACTTTCTTTCTGTTTCTTAAAGCAGCTTTCTAGTAAAAAATTAAAATTTTTATATTAAGAAGCAATGAGAAAGTCATCCCAAACGAAACCTGAAACTATTAATTTTACCATCACAGCAGCATATGTGAGAAGTATCAGAAAGAGTAAATTTGCCTCATGATTTTTGCTCTAAATGTAGTTAGAAGCGGCATATCGAGCCACTGCCGTCCATCATCTTCCAACTTACACGCAAACCAAGCTGAGCATGAAAACCTGAGGAACTAAAACTGTCGTGACTGGTATGTTTTGAACTCTAGTTAGCCAGTTTGATGTCGCAGAGAGATCAAACGTTAGCATATGGAGGAAATACATTTCATTTCCTCCAATTTTGGGATGCTTCGTGGATCGCCCTGTGAAGTTTTGGCCTGTATAGTTATCTAGCTCTCTTTTGATTGATATCTTCCTCAAGTAAGCACATGGAGGAGAATATATCCTCCAAATTTTTTAAATGCTTACTTGAGCTCATAATAATTAGGATGTGCAAAGCACTCCAAGTTAGCTTCTGGTGTAAAAAAAAAAACTTGGCAAATAAAATGTGGTGTGCAAAATCTTCTTTTGATCATAATTGAAGTCAAAAGTTTATGTTTCCCTTCTCTGTGTGAAAATGTAAGCAAGATAGCTCTTGGCATTATGGCATATAATTTAGAACATTGTTAACAGTAGCATTAATTTCATACTGAGAATTGACTTGGCAGTGGGCCTTTTTTTGTTGGAACCCTACATTACTCTATACATGCAGTAATCACTTTTTCAGGTGAAGGTTTCGTTTGGGATGGCTTTTTTAACGTCTCAAGCGAAGCCTAATTTTTTTTTTTTTGCCTGAGTATAATATAATAAAAGCAAAAATTATAACACTTGCAAGCTACTTCATGCTCTCAAAAGAATAACTTCTAAAGAAAATAAAGTGAAAGTCTATATGGCTAAAGTCGCTTACACATCAGCAGTTAATCCTCTATTATGTACAATAATTTGCACAAAGCCAAACATTATGCACACAATAAGAGCTGTTAATTAATATATGTCAAATTCAAGAAAGAAATATTAGAAGGTTGAAAAGTGAATCATAAGCTACCTAAAAGATATAATTACTCACTTATTAAAATTTGAAATGGATGGCTTTAAACCAGAAGAATATGTTGATTCAAATATAGAAGAACTAGATACATGAAGTACTATTAGGTACTCTTTAGTTGGTTTCAACATTAGTTGGGTGTTATAGCTATAGAAGATAGCTGCATTATCAACAACAAAAGTTGAATATGTAGTTATCATAGAAGCCAGCAAAGAGATGATTAAGGCTTCGTTTGGGATGGCTTTCATATTGCTTCATAAAACGGCTTTTTAGTATAAATTTTTTTAATTCAAGAAATTTTTATACTATAAAACTGTTTTAGAAATCAACAAAAAATTTATCCTAAAAGAAGCCTAAGTTAAAGGCTTCATAAAAGAATTAAATCATTCATAAGAAGATATTTCTTTATTTTTATGATAGTCAAAGTGTCATTCATTTGATAAAAAAATATTGCCTTTCACTCTTGGATAAAGCACATATAACTAAAGTATCATTTCATAAGCAATTTGCTTGGATTTGATGTCTTATAGTTTGTCATATAGAGAGATATTCTAATATGGAACAGTAAACAAGTATAATAGAATTTTAATTTTCTAATTTTCTTGCCTACTACTCTCTACATAACTCCCATAAATTTTTTTATCTATCTTCATTTATTTGATAACTATATTATGATATATACCATAATCTATCTTATAGATTCAATCTTATTATATGTCATCTTTAAGCACAATATAAGGTGATACTTTCATTATGCTGAAGAATTTCGAAACAACAAATAAATATAAAGATGAGGAGGGGAGAGGAGAATCAACCTTTCAGCCATAATAGGGAGAAGCACTTTCTTGTTAATGAGAGAAGAAAGGAAGAAGTTTTCATAGCTCTGGAAGGGTGACAATAATAGTAGCAGTAACTATTGACCCCTCACCAAAAAAAATGCGAAAAGAGGGAAATTAAACGATTTAAGTGACGCGCGTCGGCGCAGCTCGTCACTTGAAGGGTTAAACAACCTCTGATTGTCAAACAAACTGCGTTGTTGCAATCATAATATCAAATTCACCTTAAAGGGACCACCTCGTAGATGAATCAGGTAAAAATAGACAAAATCGGCGACCAACACACGAAACGACGCACGACGATGCTCAAATGATGTCTGATTTCGAAACAGATTTCTCCGTTGCATTCAGAACGTCGATAATACTTGAAATTAACTGTAGTTTCATCCAATAAAATTTGCATGAAGAAATCGATGCATTTTTAGATGAAAAAAAAAATCAAAATCAGATTAGATCGAAAATACCTCGTATCAATCTATGCCGGCTCTATTCGAATCCTCAATATCCTAGCCGTCTCTACTCTCATAAATTTTGCATAAATCTCGCAGATGGCCTCGATCGTCACCTTCCTCATCGTTAAGACGAAGCCAAACGACTTAGCTCGTTTCTTCACTTCCACACTTGTTCTCTACCGAGCTCCAAAAGCTACAGCTTTTGTAAGCTACAGCTTTTGTCGAGCCATTCGATCCCCACCCATTATGTGTGCTCCAGAAATTCTCGTTCCAGGCCTCACCTCATCGTCTTTTTTCTTGTCATTTATTTATGACAACGGAGAGTTTTAACAAGATTATGTTTCAGATGAATTTTCAGAAGCAGATTGGGCTTTAGATAAATACTACCTAAAGATTCAGCCCTCATTTTGTGAGGACTTTATGATATGAGTTCTGATTTTCTATAGGCGCAAGCCCTTATAGGTAATCACTCCTCCCGTTAACAAGGGAGAACTTTCGATTAAAGCTATTTGTTAAAGAGGTAACATAGGTTGTAAATCTAGCATTTAATAGCAAAATTGAATTTTGGAGTTTGAGACTTAAAATTTATCACGATAAACTTAAAACATGTGATAGGGGGAATGAAGAAGAGTCTGGTTAAGACCCTATGGTTCCGTCGTCCCGGACTGTCGTGGTCCCTAGTCTACTTAATCAGAGGAGGAAGTCGACCCAACCTAACATAAGGCACCTTATCAGCAACCATGGGTTGCTTCGTCCAAGAAAACCTCATAGACTTGGGGTGATGTTTGTCTCAGCGGATAAATCCGAATCCACTCAACTAACAGAGGGTTTTGTGCCTATTAAATATACCCCATGATTCATTACTCAAGGGTTTGACGTCGTTAGGGAACATATGGGCTTTGGCCGTGATTGTAATATAATGGTGTCATTTTACAACAAAATCATCCGATCAGAGGACACGTGCCACGTCCCTACTAGCAAGAGATTATTTAAAAATGAATCTTAGTGATACACCTAACACGATATTCGCTCTTTGTAGGCTTAGGTTAATTTCAAATTTACCATCCCCAATAAACATTTACGAGAGGTGAATGGGTTTTAGTTTTAAAATTTTAAGTGATATATTTCATTTTAAGAATTTAGACTTTTATTGGTTTTGAGATTTAACCCCTCCAGTTGAGATTTTCCATCAACACGACCTTCATCGGGGTTATATTAAAACTCACTTTTAGTTTTGTAGAAATTTGGGAGGCATCTTATGATTCAAGTCAGGTTGACTCAGACATTGACGTTTGCAAATTTATTGCATTTGTCAGAGCACATACAGGTTGTGTTTAGTTTGAAAATAGAGTGTCATATTGTGAGACCTCGTTCCTTTGCTGTAGCTGCTGGGAAAAGTGATTTTTTTTCCTTTTCACCGTGTGATCTCTGATCAAGCAATCCTAACCACACCTTTTGTAATTAACCCTGCTATTTAGTTTGAGTACTGTAGCAGCGGCTGTATGGTGTAAGAAAAGCTTGAAGATGAAGTGCAAAGCTATAGCTACTCTGCCTCCTCTGTTTTCAACTTTACATTCGTTAAGCTAACCATCTTTACTCTGATGTAGTTCTTATTTCATGGTATCAGAGCTGTAGGTTCCAACCCCTGCTTCCTCCGTATCAATGGCTGCGTCATCTTCCTCAACGCAGATGGAAGACTCGGGCTCGAACACAGCTTCCAGAGACACAGTCATTCCTCAGCAACTAAAGTTCTTCATGGCTAACGTGAAGTCGATGGTCACTGTACAACTTACTACCGAGAATCATCTGATATGGAAATCACAGCTGTTAAAGTTATTCACTGCTAATAACTTTGAGGGATACCTCGACGGCACCATAGTACCGCCGACGAAGCAGATTACAGATGTCAATGGAAACAGCAGGATCAACCCACTCTACTCCACCTGGATGCTGATTGATCAGCATTTAGCATCAGCAATTTATTCAACGGTTTCAGCATCTTTGTTACCGTACATTCTCAATCTCAACTCCTCTCACGAAATCTGGTTAACCACTGAGCGAAGACTACAGTCGTCAAACCGCTTTCGCCTTCTGCAACTCAAAGGCGAACTTCATCAGTTACAACTTGGCGACAAGACTATGGTGCAGTACCTGTTCGAGATCAAAGGCAAGGTAGATGCCATAGCTGCGGCAGGATCTGCCATTGAAGAAGAAGACATCATACACTATACCTTGAATGGACTTCCGATCACGTATCAGTCATTCAAAATTGTGATAAGAACGCACCCAAATCCCATTTCTATCGATGATTTTTACTCTATGTTGTGCAGTGAAGAACTTCACCTGAATGTAGATATGAACAGAAACGCAAATAACTTGCCACCTGCTGATCCAAATCTTGCCTTGGCAGCTACCAGAGGATCATATCTTGTCGCTCTACTGCCTGTGGTCGAGGTCGTGGAACATTTAATACTCGAGCCGCTCCAGAACGTAGCGCGCCTGGAAGATCTTCGAACAGTGATCAAGCAACTAACTGTGGGGGAAGACGAACTCGTCTGACTGTCGAGTGCCAAATCTGCGGTAAACCTGGTCATTCCGCAGTGAGCTGCTGGTATCGCCACGATACAAACTACTCTGCATCACCGCAAGCATACATTTCCACAGACAATTCATAGCAAGCTAACTGGTTCTTAGATTCGTGTGCTACCGAACACCTAACTTCTAATGCTGCTCAAATCCAGAACCTGCAACCGTATACAGGGAACTCCAATGTCCAAGTTGGCAATGGTTAGCAGCTGCAAATTGCTCATGCAGGCCAAGGTTTGCTGCCCACCCCCCTGCGTAAGCTTCGGCTGTCCAAAATTCTACATGTTCCTCAACTTTCACATAATTTAATTTCTATTCACAAATTAACTTCTGATAATCCTTGCTATGTCTTATTTCACTCCAATGGTTTTCTTATAAAGGATTCCAAGATCAACCGAACTCTTCTCCACGGTCCCAATCTACATGGACTCTACCCAATTAATCATCCGGCTTCCGCAACCTCCCAACCCATCGGCTTATCTGCTACTACTTCAGCTCCTAGTCTCTCGGTGTGGCACCAACGCTTAGGCCATCCTTCTCCAACAACTCAACGATCCATTCCCGCAATTTTCCCTTCAAGCCTGGCTGCCAATAGAACATTTCATTGTACTGCCTGTGCTCAGGCTAAAAGTAGACGTTTATCTTTTCCTTTGTCTTCTACTAGGTCAACTAAGTGTTTAGAACTTATCCACAGTGATGTATGGGGTCCCTCCCCACTAGTTTCAATACAATCCTATCGTTATTATGTGATGTTTGTTGATGATTTTAGCCGATATTCTTTGGTTTTTCCGTTGCACAACAAATCTGAAGTTGCAAATACTTTTCTTCATTTTAAGAAACTTGTGGAACATCAATTTCAATCTAAAATCAAAACTCTACGCTCCGATCGCGGCGGCGAATACATGAATACCATACTTCAAAATCATTTAAACAATTTTGGTATAGTTCATCAAACTTCCTTCCCTTACACACCTCAGCAAAATGGTGTTTCCGAGCGAAAACACCGACACATCCTTGAAACCATGAGAGCTCTGCTTTTTAATGCTAATTTACCTGGGAAATTCTGGACTGATGCTCTCCTCACAGCAGTGTACCTGCTCAACCGATTACCATCCTCTGTCAATCAAAATAAATCCCCTTATGAATGCTTGTACAAACATCCTCCTACTTACTCACACTTACGAACCTTTGGCTGTCTTGCCTACCCCTGGATTCCCACTCAACTGTCTAACAAATTCTCTCCTCGAACCCAGCCGTGCATATTCCTTGGCTATGTTCCCAACTCCAAAGGTTATCGCTGCTTCGATGTCCAAACATCTAAACTTTATATCTCTAGACATGTGCAGTTCCATGAATCTGTCTTTCCATTCCTGTCACAAAAATCTAAACCTACTATCCCACAGCCTATTATCAACACTCATCCGGCTAATCTGCTACCCACACCCTCTATGCTGGCGTTTGTAACCAACTCAATACCCTCCACTCAAATTACCCCACCTGCAGGATCCCAATCTCCTACCTATATGGAACCCATCTCAGCCTCGGTTCCACCATCTGAGAGCACTTCTTCCCTAGCTCGTCCACCCTCTCCTCCACCTCATCATCCGATGATTACCAGGGCCAAGACGGGCACACATAAACCACGGCAAATTCTTGATCTTGAGCATCAAATCATCCATGCTAGTCCAACAGGCTTCACTCAAGCTAACAAATATCAAGTATGGCGTCAAGCAATGAGTGCTGAGTTCGATGCTTTGCAGCAGCAAGGCACCTGGAAACTGGTTCCATATCAACCCGGTCAAAATATTTTAGGCAGCAAATGGTTGTACAAAACCAAATACAACGCCGATGGCTCCATTGCAAGGCATAAAGCTCGACTTGTAGCTCAAGGATTCAAACAAGAGCACGGTCTGGATTACCATGAAACCTTTAGCCCAGTGGCTAAATTTGCCACGATTCGATTGTTCCTGACTGTTGCCGTCTCCAACAGGTGGCCATTACTCCAACTTGATGTGTCTAATGCCTTTCTTCATGGCAAACTACAAGAGCAAGTGTTCATGCACCAACCAACGGGCTTTGTGGATCCCCAGTTTCCAAATCACATTTTCTCTTTACAGAAAGCCATATACGGGCTTAAACAATCTCCTCGGCAGTGGTTTGAGACACTGTCTACTTATCTTCTCAAATATGGATTCACCACAAGCACTGCTGACCCGTCCCTGTTACTGTTCAATCGGGATTCAGTTCAGCTTTACCTGCTTGTGTATGTTGACGACATCCTCTTAACGGGTAACCACAGTGGTGAAATTCAGAGATTACTTCACACGCTCAGCTCCAAGTTTCACATGCGGAACCTGGGATCACTAAATAAATTTCTTGGATTACATGCTACGCATTTTTAATCCGGAATTCATCTCAATCAGACACACCATGCCAAGGAGATTTTGACTAAAGCAGCTATGACAGGCTGCAAGCCCGTTTCTACTCCCCTACCTACAGTCTTACCGCCCGATGACAAAGCCACAGAGCTCTATTCTCGTCCGGAATTCTATCGTCAAATTGTAGGCTCTCTTCAGTATCTAATCTTAACCAGACCATATCTGTCTTTTGCTGTGAACTACCTCTGCAAGCATATGCATCAGCCCAACGTAGTTCATTTTCAGATACTTAAAAGA